GTTTTAACACCACACTGCTGGCTTTGGTCCGAACCAGATGAAAAGAACCAAAATGCAGTCATCTGACAAAATCCACATCACTCATTGGCTAGATGTTGTTGAACGTCGTTCCTAAATTGCTGTTCAATCGGTCCTCCTCACCCCACTTTGCAGTTCGAGCGCGACAACATCACCCCCTTAACCCCCCCAATCCCCACCCCACTTAAATGCTAATGAGCTCGTTCTCCCCATCCACCGCTCCAGCATACATGTTCACTTCTCATCATGCGTTATGTTAAATAAACAGCAGTCAGTGATAGGGAGAGACATGGATGAAGCTGAAATACAGCTCACTAGTCAAAAATACCAAGTAAGTTTATTTCATGTGTTTGTGATGGAGTTTATTCAAGCCTTTCTGACATGATGAATTACACACATGCCATTTGCAGTACAAACACACACACACACACAAATATAAATGTGCCTTTACTGATACCATGCGATTATATACCATGATGATTATAGTGGTTAAGAATTACATGGCAATTTTACTGTCTTTATTGCAAACAGGCTCTGTTTTAAAAATGTTATAAAATTTAAAATCACAGAGAGTTGGAACAAATATTTTAATCCCAGTTAATTTGCAAAAGAAATGTTCTGTAATCATGTGTTTACATGTTGTTATTATAGAAATATAGCGCCTGTCAATCAATTTGGTGGACTAGGAACCGCACTCCTACGCTACGTTGCAGTGGCCCTCAAAATCACTGTGATTTGGATTAAATATTAACATCAGGGAATTTTTAAAGAGATTAGTTGTGTTTCTATCACTCCAATAGGACAGTGGACACATGATACATACACACGGTTCTGTCGAAAACAGCTTACAAAATTTGTATTGCTTTTCTTTATTTACAAGTAGCAGAGTATTTACAGCTAATGTATAGTCTATTTCTGTCCATTTGCATCCCGTCCCTTTGTGCCACCTGGCGGCATAGTCGCAAAATGTGGTCATACCTTTTGTTTTAAGCGGCGGCGGTAGATTGTGTGGCGGTAATGGCCACATTGAACTCTCACCTACTGTAGGTATCCTTTAAGTAAAGTTGATTCAAAAGTGTGGGTTTTAAAGCTTGGAAACATTGTTTTAAGGCATTTGTGGAACTTAAAGGGATAGTGCACCCAAAATCAAGATTCAGTCATCATTTACTCACCCTTCACTTGTTTTGTCTACTGTTGAACACAAAAGAAGATATTTTGAAAAATGTTGAAAAATATTAACTATAGTATTCGGTTCCATATTATTTGTTTTTTCCTATTTTAGATGTCAGTGGTTACTGACTTTCGGCTTTTTTAACATCAAATTTTGTGTCAACATCAACAATGAAAACTAATAAAGGTTTGAAAGCAGTAGTGTTTCTATTTTTATTTTGAGGGGAACTTAATGGCAGTGTTTAGGCAGTGTTTCTCAAAGCTGTTGCTAAAGGCACACCAACAGTACACATTTTCAACCTCTCTCTATTCAAACACACCTCAATCAACTCATCAGAACATTAAACGAGACTCCAAAACCTGAAATTAATGGGTCAGATAAAGGAAATGTGTACTGTTGATGTGCCTAAAGGATCTTAAGATCTATTTTAAGAGAACAATCCCGTTAAGAAAAGTGTGCACAAAAATCCTTTCGGCTTGTTCCAATGGCCTGATGTGGAGTGAATAATGCCCAAAATGAAGACTTTAATTTCTTCCCAATTGCTATTGATTGTCACCTGCTCACATAATGAGATGTGACGTCCCAAGTTTGAATAGGTGGAATCGTGAGTGACATTTAAGAGCCACAGTGGAGGCCGGCTCTCATTTTTCTATGAACTCACCGTGACCTTTAAAGTCACTCAATCACACGGCAGATTAAATGGAAGATATCCAATCAATAAAAACCACCCAGAGGTGAACTCCGTAATAAATGACATCTAACTTTGTACTCTGTTAAACAAGCTGCTCGTGCAGTCCCTGACATCAGATTACAGGCTTGAACAGAGTGAGGAACGTGTTTACCAGACCTCTGCAATCTTTCTGATTACTGACATACTGACACGTCCTCACGATTCCACCACCACACTCCTATGCATGTACAGGAGATTAAAATAATAACCTAATTTCCTCATCTTAAGCATTTTTACAAGGCATAGTTAATTTTTTTTTTCATTTACTCTAGTTGACTTGTTCCATACATTCAAATTATTTTGACTTATTGTTCAAATTTCTTATTTAAAATGAACTGAAACTACACAATTCATTAGATTTTTGTTCAATCCACACTGTAAATGTCACACCCAATCTCCCGCGTATGTTTATTTTCATCATGTGACACTCACCATGTGCTCCTTTGTTCTGTTATCCCGCCATGTCATTATGTTCATCACCTCCACCTGTGTCTCAACCCCGTATGTAATCAGTTCATCATCTCCTGTATATTTAAGTCCCTGTATTCCGTTAGTTCCTTGTCCGGTATTCTCGCTAAGTTGATGTTTGTCTTCACCCCATGTTCTTCCTGTGTCCGTTCATGTAAGTGTATTGATAATAAATATACGTGTTTGAACCAGGCGTTACAGTAAAGAAAACGTTATTTTGTGTTGTTGTTGTTGTTGTTGTTGTTGTTGTTGTTGTTGTTGTTGTTGTTTTTTTTTTTTTTTTTTTTTCAGCAGCTGGGTTGCTGAAAAAAACAAGCAAAACATAAAATATTAGGCGGTAAATTACAGAAGTGTACTGTAAAATAATGAACGTTACACTACATAAATTTCCTTAAAGGTTCACGAGACCCTAGAGTACTTTTTTGAGATTTTAACAGATTTGTGTGTGTGTGTTGAGCATCAGTTAAGACAATGTGAGCACCTGTTAGCTTTAATTGTGGGAAAAACTGGATAATTTTGAGCTTTTGTCAGCTAATTTCAGCTTCCGGGTTTAAAATGATTTTTGTGGCGGGATCAAAATCGGCAACGTAGCGCAACTGCAAGTGCAATGATGACAAGTTTGAATAAAAACAAGTTTGAACAAGTTTCAAACAAGTTTGAATCAGTTTTTCATTATTTTTCATAGCTGAGAGGAGCCGGCTTTTTAATTATTCATGACTGCACATGCTTTCCAAAGGCAAGGCAGACCTGCCAGTGCCAAGCTGCGAGATCCTACCTTGATGACTGGGTCGGCACACAGTATTTAGCTGTTCATGAAGGGTCGTATGTGTTTGTTTCCATGATCCATGGGTTTGTTGCATATAGTTAATCTATTTTCAAAGTTGGGTTGAGAGCTGGGTCTATTCTACTCAAACTATGATGAATTTCACCTTGATATTTTATCGTGGATGTAAACCTGACTGTTGAGTCGTCTGACAAAAAAAAAAAAGGTGCCCTTCTGAATCAAATCAGCAGGATTCCCTTCTGCTTCTCTTTCACTTACTTTGACTGTTTCACATTCACTTGTGTGCATTTTATTTATGTCCCCGTGACAAACTGGGGTATTAGAGGCAAATAAGGAGTAAGGAGTGGTGGAAGAGTGCGAATTTAATTACGCATGCCAAATGGAAAGAAAAAGAGTTCCACATTTCACGATGTGTGTGCGTGCAGCCCTTTACTGACAGCCACTTGTGTGGATCTTGTCGGAAAATATGGCAAAAAGTCTTGTGTGTCAGTAACAGTTTGACCGCAATCAAAAATCAATGTTTACTTTAATAATGCCACTAATATATGCAAACACCACATGTTTTAATTCAATGTCCGTTTAGTTCAGTTATGACTTTAGTCGGATTAAGATAATCAAAAATCGCTGTTTGGAGCTTATGTAGGCCTACAGTTCAAAATTCATGTTTAACTAAATAAACGGTCTCACTTTATATTGTGGCCTTAACTAATATGTACTTACACAATAATTAATAGTTTTTTACAATGTACTTATTGTCTAAATACATGTTTTTACTGTGTACTTATGTTTCATTAAATACCTGTATGTAATTACATCCGTAATTAACTTTTGTAATTACATTTGTAAATACACTGTTGCCCATCCCTTACACCTCAACCCCCCCTTAAACCTACCCATACCACCAAACCTGTCCATAACCCAACCTCTATCCCAACTAAAAAGCACCACTAGTGTTCTCAAATACATTAAACACACAGTAAGTACATTGTATTTATTTTTTTGATGCAAGTACATAGTAGTTAAGGACACTTAATATAAAGTGGGACCGAATAAACAGTAAACACAAGTACATCTTATTGAACATCATTTATTTTCATCACCAATTCTCCTAGTAGAACAGTTTAAGCAGTTTGTGATGCATTTTGGAAACAGGAGATGAGCCCCTGGTCTAATGCGCCAGAGAAACCCGTTCTCAAAGACTTGGATTTAGTCATTATTTGGGTAACACATATTCTGGATGTTCAATATTAATTGAAGTATGTGGCTAAGAAATAGCTATTAACTTTTTTTTTTTTTTTTTTCTGGTGGGGTCAGTAAAAGGCACAGCAAGTAAAAACATAGAAAAAATCCTTAGCGTTGAACCCTGCAATGTGTGCACCAAATTGAGATGATGCCATTTTCTGGGTGAAAACAATAAAAAAAGTTTGTTTGAAGTTTTTTTCAGCAACAGATAAAACAGACTTTTTGGGCAAGTTTATTTTGGCTCCTAAACGCATTTGAGTTACCTTTTGAGTTGTGGGAATTACGCAATCATGCAATTTCATGAGCAATTTTTTTCTCCCCGATTAGTTTCTGAGGGCTGTGACCTGTGACATGTTTCACATATGGCGGTTCCCTTTTTAGGAGATTGTCACCCTCATGTTGTTGCATGTCATTTTTTTTAAATGCATTAAGAAAATCTTTTTAATCTAAAAGAGTCCATTTGGATTGCTGAACTGCTGTTGTTTTGCTGAAGATGGGCAGGAGGGAAACACCTTTGTTGATGTGACTTTAAATGGAGATCAGTGTGACGTGCCACACGATTAAAGCTCTAATTTCTGTCATTCCAGACTCCCATGATGCAGTGCTGCGGTTTAATACAGCTCCTACTGTGGGTTATGAAAGAGACGTTGGGAATAAAACCACCATACGCATCATCAACTCTCAGGTGAGCCACGTTTGATGTTTTCTTGCTAGTTTTCTGTGAAAGCAGCCATAGAATTAAAGCTGATCTCTTTGGAATAGCCTCTGGCTCGTCCTCTGGCTGTTTGTTTTTTTTAGATGGATTTGAGTGATCTATTGGAAACAAACACTCTCTCTCTCTCTCTCTCACACACACACACACACACACACACATACCTTGCTGACAGAGACCACTGCGATGAGTCCTTTGTCACTTTTAAGACAAGAGACTGTTGGTGATTAGAGTGAAAATGATCTAGTAGTTATGATTTCCCCAGATGAATCTTGACATTTTCTAAAAAAAAAAAAAAATGTTGTTTAAATATTTTTATGAGGCGTTATTTCATTAAATTAGATTAGATTAGATTCAACTTAATTGTCATTACACATGTACAAGTACAAGGCAACGAAATGCAGTTTAGGTCTTACCAGCAGTGCAATAGCAGCAAGCGCATGATACAGGTATAAGTTTTAAAGTGCAGCTGTAGAAAAACTATGGTGATATTTACAGATGGATGTAATATGTACATTATATACAGGTTGGATCAGCTATTAACAGAGATTTACAATAAATGAATATATGTACAGATTGCTATTAATAATCGGAAGTGTACAGATAGATAAACATAATTACAAATGTATATGTACAGTGGGTGTGTACATAACTACAAATGTCCTCGTGCAGTGGGCATGTACAGTTCAAATAAATGAATCAGTGCAATTTTTAAATGTGCAAATGTTAAATAGTGCAGTGATTGTGAGGAGTATAAGGCGTACTCAGACTATGTACAGGTACTTTGAACTAGGCCAAAGCACGCTTGTCCCCCACTCCCGTCTCCCCCGACGAGCCACACTCATATTACATTCGGGCCTGGGCATGCTTACTTCATCGACGATGCACTGTTCAGCTCTCCGCTTCACACAGACACATAAAAACACACCAAACTGCAGCCCCTGCACACGTGCTAAACAACAACTTGTTGGGCTGTTTTGAATCTAAAATGATTATTTGCTAATCTCAACGCGTTGCTTGCCATGTGTTGTTAATGTAAGATTGTATTCAGTCTGATTGGAAAACTACTCAATTACAGTAATTTAAGTATTTGTAATTAGTTACTTTACACCACTGCCAATTAGTTCATCATTTGCTTGTGTTTTTAAGGCCTTTGACTGTGTAAGCATGTATGCCACTTTAAAGAATTTAGGCACAAGAAATTATGTTTGTAAGAAAGATTATATTTTGTAAAGAGACATGATACACTGTTTTACAATTGATTATTCAAGTTGTGCCTGAACATTTTAAATGCATACTTATATTTTTCTTTTACAACCTTTATATGCAACAAAAGGCAACGAATATAACCGATTCTATGTCATAAATGTAAAGTTTCTGAATCTACACCTGAGAAAAATGCTAATTATAGTAGAACATTTCAGATGGCACTTAGAGGTTTTTGCATCTGAACTCTTAATTTGCTTAATTTGTATCTTTACTCCACTGTATTTATCAATGCTTGTGATTGGTTTATTATATTTTATACACATGCACTGCACTTCAAAATCATCATAATAAATCTAATGTTAATGTCAGAAGTCTAAAAAATAGTCAAGTCTAAAAGAACAGTCGATATCATAATAGGCAGAAAAACGAAACGTTGCAATGTGCGCTGTTCAATACTCAAAAGTGTTTCTTTTTCCTTATACTATTTTAAATGACAGAAAGCCCAAAATTCACAAAATGGACATGTACTTAAAAACAAAACAAAACAAAACAAAAAACACCTGCAGTGTCTCGATTTAACAAATGAATGGATCTCTGGGTATAAAACTGATGCTTATTAGCTAATTACAATGTAGCTTTTGAGAAAAAGTTGGGAAATAAAGAAATGCCATTTACTCACCCACGTCTGTTTCAAACCCATTCTGTTGTACACAAAAGGACCTGTGTCTGTGTGCTGGTGTGCTGGCAGGCTCCGAAAAAAAAAAAAAAGATTCTTCATAAAGACACAATGAAAATGGTCTAAACGATTCATGTGCAGGATTCAGGCAGTGTTGGGGATAATTAAGTAATTAAGTACTGTAATTCTTTCTATCTCTCTCACACACAGAGCATGATGTACGCTGCTGAACACAGTCAAATATAAACCCAATCAGAGTATTGTTAACCTCTTTTGTTCATGGGATTAGGCTAAAGGCTAAACTATATTTAAAATTGACTAAAGAGACAGATCAAGATGCATCATGTTGTATTTTTAAACAAAACAAAAGTAAACAAAAGTTGTTGCTTATCAGACATAGCCTGATGCATATTAATGATCTCAGAGCTACATATGAGGCTGTGTTCTCTTGATGTGACCGCTCGTCAGGTACAAATACATGTGTGTGTGTGTGTGTGTGTGTGTGTGTGTGTATATATGTATATATATATATATATATATATATATATATATGTGTGTATTTTTTTTCTGGCTACCCAATGAACTTGTTACTCCAGAATTGGACCTGAGTTTTGTGTTTTTATTTCCCTTTTCTGTTTGTCTTCTCAGTATAACTTGTTGTCTGCTTTGTGTGCAGATCCTGGCGAATCCCATGCATAGGTTCAACAGAAGCTCATTGTATAAAAATGTAACGCTGGTGGCGTGGGACCCTGCACCGTACACCCTCAACCTGCACAAAGTGAGTACAAAACTGTTTGTTCATTAGTTATCTACAACATTTATTGTGTTTAAGCATATATAAGATTCTGACAACCTGATAACCTTGGATAAAAATATAACTGTTTCACGGTGTTGTGATTATAGCTTTAAAATATGTTTTTCGACAACTTCTTTGCATATTAAACACAATATATTTCATTTTAAGAAACTTTTCAAATATTTTGAAACCGTAAACTTGCCAGTGTAACCCTGCCAGTCCTACGCCACCCAACCCGCTCCGAGCTGGTATCGAACCGGCAACCTTCCGCATGGGAGTTGGGTGCTCTACCAAGGAGGCTAAAGACCATGGCCTCTAGCGTCTGTCGCTAGAGCACCTTTAGAGGTCAGAGGAGTGAGGTTTACCTGCACAGCACACACTAGCTGGCCTCCGTTACACTCACCCCCTAAACCTCACTCCCATCTCGGTCACGGCACCAATGTAACCCTGCCGGTCCTACGCCACCCAACCCGCTCCGAGCTGGTATCGAACCGGCAACCTTCTGCATGGGAGTTGGGTGCTCTACCAAGGAGGCTAAAGACCATGGCCATAGCACCTTTAGAGGTCAGAGGAGTGAGGTTTACCTGCACAGCACACACTAGCTGGCCTCCGTTACACCAGGTTAAATAATTCAGTAGTCTTCATTAGTTTCAAAAACACAGATTTCTTTACGACTTGAATAGGCATCTCCTGAGAGCTTTCTTTTCTTTGGATATAAAGTAACTGCACTGTTCAGGTTTATAGCATGCTGAATGTTGGTGTATACAAGGTTTGTTTTTCAGATGTTTGCTGAATCATAGGCTGCGCAGAAGCTTTTGATGTGGACATACTGTTGCTCTAAAAAACAAAACAAAATAAAATATTCATACAAACTGTATGCTGTTAACAAATCCCTGTAGAATATACAGTAACCTACTGGCAGCAGTTCACCAAATACTGACTGTAAATCAATTACAGCAAAATGAATTTACATTTAAAGCACAATTTCTATTGTTATTCTATTTCTATTGTTATATATTGTATTATATATTGTACTACTAATAAAAACTTTTTATTTACGCTTTTCTAAGACCCAAAAAGCTTACAAGAAAGTAAAAACAACAAAGCACAGTAAAAAAATTAAAACACAGTAAGAATAAAAGAGATATCACAAATTAAAAAAAGCAGTCCTTTAAAGATGAGTTTTAAGGAGCTTTATAACAGTCCAAGGAACCATCAGTCCTAATGTTTGTGGGAAGAGCGTTCTACAGGTTGAGTGCACGGAAAGAGAACGCCCTACCTCCCATGGTGCTGAGTGTGCACGAGGCTGAAACAGCGTAGGACCCAAGGCAGAGCGTAGACAGCGAGAGGCAGAGGAAATAGATATCAAATCACAAATGTCACCCGGAGCAGAACAATGAACAGCTTTATATGTTAAAATCAATGTCTTCTGTACAGAAGCTGATCTGGGATCAGTTTATTGTACGGAACCCGTCTGTCAGTCAGCGCTTATGAATGTATTCACTGGTTCAGAGGAAGCATGTGAAAGGTGACGGTCGATCTTTAATGTAAAGAAAGTGAAAGCAGACATTTTAATACTAATATCAAGAGTTCACACTTAGCTGATGATTGATGATAAAGCTAGTTTGGCGTGCTGTCCCGAGAGAGAGCCCTGAGCTTATAAGATCCTCGAGCCCGTGGCTCACTCCTGTTGCAAAGCGAGAGGGGAGTTTTAGCTCGGGTAGATCTCGATGACTCCCCCTCTTGTTTATTGTAGCTAAGTGTCAGATATGGATGCTGAAGGTGTACTCAGAGTTTAGCTAAAATATTTTGGATTAATTGTTAGAGTGCTTGTTTTTGAACTGTGGGAGGAAACTGGAGGACCCGGGGAAAACTCACGCGGGGAGAACGTGCAAACTCCGCACAGAAATGACGTCTGGTTTGGAAAGGAATTAAACCAGGGGCATTCTTGCTGTGAGGCAACAGCGCTAATCGCTGGCCACCGTGACGCCCGTTTGAAAGGAGGGAAAGTAGGGTTGGGTGGGGGGGGTTTCTTCAAGATAAAGATATTGTTATGAGAAAAGTCTGGTTATTTATAGTGAGTTAAGGATCGTCTGATAGGATAATCAGTTATTAGCTAAAGTTGGAACAGCTGTGAACAATCACGTGATCCTCTCGAAATTTGTTTATAAATAAACTTCACTTCAGCGTGCTTTCAAGATTAAAAATATATCAGAAATATTGGAAAATAATTAATGATAGGATGATAGTGGGATAGAATGGTAAAATACGGGAGAATTTTGGCAAAAATGTGAGTGTTTACATGAATGAAGTGAACAGGAAGTGTTTGTGGAGAAAACTTTAAAGAGAAGTTTGACCAATGAATTACGACATATTTTTCACAGCCTCCTTTGCTTAGTAGAGATCACTGTAAGATGGTCATCTCAGGCTTGGCAGAAAAGATCATTGACGTGTCACTGATGTGATCGATAGACCCAAGATTGCATATTGCAGACTTGACAATGGTATCCTTTTAACAGCAAGTCTTTAGAGGGGTAAAAAAGTGTCGGGGCATGTGGAGTTCAGAACAGCTTTCAAATATCTTTACAATAAAGGGCCGTTTCTGTTAGCGGTGAAATGGAGAACATGGACTGAAGGTCAATGAATGTGTCTCTGCACAAGGTTGGTGCTTAACTCCACTCGATTTATATTTCTTTTTCAACCCTTCTCCCATCTCCGATGTGCGCTTTTATTTTCCTCGTCAATTCAAGAATTCAATAATGCCTCATGACCTGCGTGAGTGCTGCTGCGGAGGGTTTCCGGAACACTGTGTATCGAAACTGCAGTGAACTCCACTAACCTCCTTGGCTTCTTGTTTATGAGGAACAGAAGTACAATATGTTCAAGCGTAATTAATTTAAGGTTCAATTTAGTGAGCGCTACAAATTATGCATTTGAATGATAAACAGTTTGCTGTGGCTAATTTGCTAAAAGTAGTTGTAATATCACAGCAATAGAGTTACAGTAGAATAATTAAAGTAATTATGTATTTCTGCACTATTTTGTCGCACTATTATATCTTTCTTTTCTTTTTCATTTATATAAAACCTGTTAACACATTTTAATATGTTTTTTATAAATTTTTATTATTGTTTTTGTTTCTTATACTTGTTTCTTTTATTTATGTAAAGCACATTGAATTACCACTGTGTGACCTAGATAGATCTATCTATCTATCTATCTATCTATCTATCTATCTATCTATCTATCTATCTATCTATCTATCTATCTATCTATCTATCTATCTATCTATCTATCTATCTATCTATCTATCTATCTATCTATCTATCTATCTACAGTTGAAGTCAGAATTATTAGCCCCCCTGTTTATTTTTTCCCCTAATTTCTGTTTTACAGTAAGCAGATTTTTTTTCAACACATTTCTGAACATAATAATAATCTATACAGCTTAAAGTGACATTAAAGGCTTAACTAGGTTAATTGGGTTTACTAGGCAGGTTAGGGTAATTAAGTTATTGTATAATGATGGTTTGTTCTGTAGAATATCGGAAAAATATATAAAGCTTAAAGGGGCTAAAAATTTTGATCTAAAAATGGCTTTTAAAAAAAATTTACAACTGCTTTTGTTCTTGCTGAAAAAAAACTAAAGACTTTCTCCAGAAAAGAAAATATAATCAGACATACTGTGAAAATGTCCTTGCTCTGTTAAACATCATTTGGGTAACATTTAAAAAAAGAAAAACAAATCAAAAGGGGGGCTAAAAATTCTGACTTCAACTGTGTGTGTCTGTCTGTCTGTCTGTCTGTCTGTCTGTCTGTCTGTCTGTCTGTCTGTCTGTCTGTCTGTCTGTCTGTCTGTCTGTCTGTCTGTCTGTCTTTCTGTCTATCATGGTATTTCTCAGTCGTCTCTCTCTTGTCTGCAGCTGTTACAAAATGCGGGTGCTAGACTACTCTCTGGCACCGCAACTAGTCAGTTTCTGGTTACCTATTAAATTCAGAATTGATTTTAGAATTTTATCATTTGTATACCAACCGTCAATAATCTTACACCTAAGTACCTTAGACTTGCTTTGTTCATATATATCCCCTCTCGTTTATTAAGATCTTATGATCTCAATTTGCTCACTTGCTGGTCCCAAACTCTGGAACACTGTACAATTTCACATTAAACTTCCCCCCTCTGTTTCTGTGTTTTAAACCTGTTTAAAAGACCTATCTATTTTCTCTCGCTTTTAATACTCCTTGATTATTGTTTTATTGCTTTTATTTGTTAAATGTTTTTTTGTTTTTTTATATATTCTGCATTGTTTTCTGTTTTTAGTACTCCTATGTACAGCACTTTGGTTTACATTTTTTTTTTTTTTAAATGTGCTTTATAAATAAATATTGTATTGCAAGACATGTGCTATACCTGTATAAATACCTTCCCTTAATTTACAAGGGTCTCAAGTCTCATAGTCACTCATTTCGGCCAGTACTTACTGCTCCCCCCTCTCTCACCACTTTGAGAAACTTTGCTAATCATATATATATACCGTTGTGTGTTTGTATTGCAGTGGTACTCCAATCCAGACTACAACCTCTTCACACCATACATGGAGTACAGGATGCGCTTCCCTTCTCAGCCTTTCTACATCCTGCACCCCAAGTACATCTGGCAGTTATGGGACGTGATTCAAGCTAATAATCTGGAGAACATCCAGCCCAATCCACCCTCCTCAGGGTTCATAGGTAAGACACTGTTTCAAAACTCAAGCATGTAAATAATGATAGGTAAAGTTGCGGAAAATAAAGTTTTCAAGCGTCTCAATCCAAAGTCCTGTCAGAGTTCGAAAGCAGTGTAAACAAATTTCCGTTCCTAATTGTTAGGTCACAGAAATTAAACACCTTGCATTCACTTTACACTTCACATCTAAGGTTTTGTTGACGTCCACCTTTTTAAATGTTTTCTGGAAACTGTGTTTAACCCTCTGGGGTCTGAGGGTGTTTTGGGGCTCTGGAGAAGTTTTGACATGCACTGACATTTGTGTTGTTTTCAGTATCAGTAACATTTTAATGGCTATACATTTTTGTGACGTTGAAGGCTACATCTACATCTAACAGTTTGTTGGCTTAACACAGACCATCATTACTCGCATTATACTGATCAAACTCGGAGCACTTCTTGTCTACTTTAGCTCTACTTTAGGCTACTTTTTGCCACTGGTCCTTTACCTCCGTTGTTTTTACATCTGGATTTACATATGAAGCATGCTTACTGAGAGGCGTGACCACGCTGCTGTAATGAGGCGATATAGGAGAATCCGTACAGTCCTTACTTTTATACGGATTACATAAAAAGAGATCATTTGTTTTCGACCTGAATTGGTTAATGCAAAAGTAGACATATCAAGCTTTATATAGATATCATAAATCATAATCTTTGTTGACTATTTGCCGAGTTTCCTTTCATTTAAGTGACGTGTTTTTCTGACCACAGTCTGCTCACGTCTTCAGACGCTTGTAATAAAGATGCCACGTGGGCGTGGTCGCATTAAAACTAATGAGATCAGATTGAGAAACTAGACATAGCGTTGGTTTCATACCGATTACTTTATCAAGCAATGTTTGTTTTCAACATGCATAGCTGCGTTTAAAAGTAGACACTTTAAGCTTTCTAGAAATACATGTCTCATCTGTGTCCGTTTTGTATTCGCGGAGTTTCAGCGCATTTTACTGACGCATTTCTAAAAGCAGATCACGGAGAGAAAAAAGACAGATTGCCTACACTGTTTGTTTTCTTTATTTTGCAAAAGCACACACATTTGTTGTTGTTGTGAGTGTACACAACAATCCGTACAGTCCTTACTTTTATACGGATTACATAAAAAGAGATCATTTGTTTTCGACCTGAATTGGTTAATGCAAAAGTAGACATATCAAGCTTTATATAGATATCATAAATCATAATCTTTGTTGACTATTTGCCGAGTTTCCTTTCATTTAAGTGACGTGTTTTTCTGACCACAGTCTGCTCACGTCTTCAGACGCTTGTAATAAAGATGCCACGTGGGCGTGGTCGCATTAAAACTAATGAGATCAGATTGAGAAACTAGACATAGCGTTGGTTTCATACCGATTACTTTATCAAGCAATGTTTGTTTTCAACATGCATAGCTGCGTTTAAAAGTAGACACTTTAAGCTTTCTAGAAATACATGTCTTATCTGTGTCCGTTTTGTATTCGCGGAGTTTCAGCGCATTTTACTGACGCATTTCTAAAAGCAGATCACGGAGAGAAAAAAGACAGATTGCCTACACTGTTTGTTTTCTTTATTTTGCAAAAGCACACACATTTGTTGTTGTTGTGAGTGTACACAACAAAAAGTAGACACATAACAGATTCGATTGATGTATTGATCTTATCTGTACGATCAAAACTGAAAGTGCTATTTAAGTTCATTTCAGCAGTTTGACGCCACCACAGGTCAAAACGCGTATACGCGGTTTTCGACCCCAGAGGGTTAAAGACAACTCCGATGTTTTATTTCCCTCTCAACGCTGTCATTATTACTTCTCTGTTAATGCTGTCAAATGTGACCGTTTGAGATGGTTGTAAATTATAGTTCATTTCACTTTTTACACTCATGCTTTTGTCCTTTTAGCTCAAAAAATGGCACTTGAATACTCCAGTTTCTTCTTTTTAAAATTTAAAGAGGTACTTGCAACCTGGTTACTATCCACAAGCACAAAATGTGAATTAAATTTAATCTAAATGCTAATACTAACACTTTTCCCCCTGGCCTTGTGATTTTAATCATGAGTGTGATATATAGTCAACGTCTTTCCACATGATGTGATTGGATAACTGGATTAACCACCTCACTGATCCCAATCACATCATCTCAAATGTGGTTTTAATAATTATACGATGAATTATGAAGCAAAACTTCATCATCAGAATGATTCTGTGTAATTACCTCCCAGAATAATCAAGCATCAGATATTCTCCTGAAACTCAATATAACATGTCAGCATTTGTGACTGTGTGTGGAATCTGCCACTCTGAAACACACAGTCAAACACATTTAGTACATTGGAGAAAATAATGTGGTTCCCCTTCGGGAGGGGGACCTCAATGCTATGTGGAAACTTCCACTATGGGGATTTCGTCAGAATCCAATCATCTGCGCCCTCAGCCTCTGGATAGACCCTGCTTTTCTGCAGACCTGTGTGCCTCTAGAACAAGTGTCCAGGCATTCCAGTTGCGCTGGGGGGCTGTGTTGTGAGGGCATGTAGCTGTGGATCTGTGGTAGGAACCCGGTTGCATTGGCATTTTAATCGCCCTAGCTGTTGGCAGTGTATCTAGCGATGCACCGTTTTTTTTCCCAGTATTAGAGGGGAAACATGAGCTGGTCAAGACGGACAGCACGGTGACGTTGGCATATATCAACCACATGGGAGGTATCCACTCAGCTCGCTCGGCGTCTGCTGTCCCGGAGTCATAGGTGGCGAAATCGCTGCATTCTATTCTTCCCCAACGAGCTCATCCGTGCAGCCGATGCGCTCTCACGGCAGTTTCACCTGGGAAATAGGAGACTCCACCCCGACTGTCCAGCTGTTATGAGCTTTCTCTCTAACACAGAGATATGTGCGCTCTCTTGATTGAGTACCACACATAGCGAATCTGGTAGAGTTCCACTAGCTACACAGCTGGTTCCATGGCGTGCGTAATACGCATTTCTCCAGTGAGCCTGCTCGCACAGATACTGTGTCAGGGAGGACGGGGAACAGGTATATGTATTGAGCCTCTCTGGCTCAATCTGCACCTGTGCCCAGATCTATGGCTCACATATGTTCCATAGATGGAGCATGCAGGACGTGGCCAACCTACTGATTGGGTGGTTAACACCGTCACTCAGGCTAGAGTACCCTCTACAAGGCATGCCTTCGAAGTGGAGTCTATTCGCTTTATAGTCTAGTCGTATCCTTTTTTTCCCCGAGAAGGACCCCGAACATGAAAGATCTGTGGCCTGCTAAGTTCTTAGCATTCTCCTTGCGCATACACGCAAAGCATAATGGGTCATTTTGCATTCTACGAAAAAGGTCTACAATTTTAAGGATTACATTTTAAGACTTTTTATTTTAAAAACAAATGTTACACAAACTGTTTGCTGTATGGAATGCAAAAACGTTGAAGCTCAATATCTCAAAATCATTCAGAACACCGATAGAACCTTACAATTCCAAAGTGACAATATGTTGTCAGTGTTTTACAAGTAGCTGCGTAATATGGCTGTATATCGGCACTGATGGGAGGCATGCGTTGACTTGAGGCCGCAGGCCGAGTGCCTTATTGTCACACCAGTGACGAAATAAAGCCAAAACGCACAGCTACTCAAGTGAAATTTCGTTTATGCAACAGTTAGACGGCATAATTAAAAAACAAATCGTAAAATCTTTGTAAGAGGAACTACTTTCTTCTGCCATTCTTTCAGATTTGCAGCTGACATCAGAACAGCAGAAACCATTGCTATTTCACCAACATCACTTTAGAGCTCGTGTTTGAATGATTCTCTAACATCATGTCTAAAGTGATGAAAAAATTAGTGATTTTTGCTGACTTTATAAGATTATAAGGCTGAACAGCATGCCATCAGTCTACAGTATTTCAGCTGATCTTCTGTAGTTGAAAATGACACTGTTTTTCTCTTCTTAGGGTTTATTATGCAGTCTCTGTTGCCATCTTGTGGATGGACAACATCCACCTTCTTTACTCTGCTCAATGACAGGCTAATGGTCACCGACGCTCTGTCTCTCAGAAATGTAAACCTTTTTAAAATATGCACTATCCTTATAAATAAACTGTCTAGTTACAATCTAAACAACTCTCCACTAAAAAAGCCTCAAAAGTACATTTTGTTGTAAAACAGCAGCAATATTTGTCAAACTGTAAAGTGTCCTCTGCTTGTTGCTGTATAGGGGCAAAGTAATGCACAAGGGTGAAGAGTTAAGGGAAGGGGAAGAGTGAAGAGTGCTATTATTATTTTTTAGAATATCACACTGCTCTCAGCCAATCAGATTCAAGAACCAGACAGAACTGTTGTAGAAATTACAATATATCACAGAATATTGCATTAATGCTGTATTGAGACACAAGTATGATGACAATATTTTATTGTGGGAACTCACTCCAGTATCCATCTTTTCTAAATTAATCTTTTTTACTTTCAAGAAAATATGAGCCTTTGGGAATGTGCTTAAAATGTTTGTATGTGTTTATTTATCTAGATGCGTTACATTTTTATTAATTTTTCCCGAGATTATCCTGGTGTTGATGGATTGAGAATAGTATTTGTACAATAATATGGATACAGCTGCTAAAGTGAATATTGTACTGAGTTAAAATGGTGTGCATAGCTGTGTGGTACAGTTAAAAACCAATTACAGTAAATGATTTTAAAATCCAAACCAAACACAATCATTTGCTATCATTAGGAGTTACAAAAATGACAGATCATTTTGAACTGACAGATCGATTTGCATTTATACACAGTCAAAATGGCACAACAAATCCATACGTGTAGTATCATGACAATGACTCATGAGAGCAAACTATTACAAACAGACACACTGAAATGGTGATGTTGTTGCGTATGATGTGTTTGGCACTTTACACACGATCCTTCATAAAGATGTTTGAATAGTCATTTCTGAAACCTCAAGAGTACATTCAACACATTTGAGAAGCAAACAAAGTCTGTTGTTCTTTTTTTGGAGGGGAGGGGAAATCCTGCTAAGATTCTCAATACGAAATGTTCGACTTTGTAGTAAATTTCATAATCCAGTTTCCTCTTCGTGAATTGGGAAGTGTACCATATGAGTTGATCCAATGGTTAAATACATTTCTGTAGATCAGTGACCTGGGCTCAGATAGTAGTGTCAAACCATATGAAGCAGATGTGGGAGGATCACAGCTTTTATGAGTTACAGTGGAACAAAAGAGGATTGTTTCTTTGGCATTGGAAACCAATAACAGTTCAGTTGTTATTTGAAAGGTATTTTCTAGCTAGAAAAAGCCTCTTGTCAAGGTTGAATATAATGCCTTTGTATTATTCCTGGCAAATGAATTCAGTAGTATTCAATGCAATTCTATTTCTTCGGCTTGTATGATAGAAAGCTCAGTGATTTTGCGCAATAACAGTGTAATCCAAACCAGGGGTCCGTTCTTCGTACCTCGCTTAAATGATCTAAGATGATTTGGCAGATCCTGGATCTTTTAATCTTGATAACTGATCTCTCGCTAATTTGGTTCTTCAAACAAGTTCTTGAATCAGATTAGAATGTCTGGATGAACTGATCTGAGATCTCTGCGTGTGTTGTGAAGGACAGATCTATCGATCCTCGAAATCATGATTAGCAATGCAACGATTGGCTGACGGCACAGCAGTGTAATGACATCATCTGATTAATATTCAATTATCCATGTGAGCAAAATTAGCCTACATCAAATTAGCAGTAAACGGTTTGTTAAATATGACACGCAATAACCTTACACATTTGTTATGAGCGGCAGGCTTTACACGTTCATGTTTCAAGAGTATTCATCGTATTTCAATGTATATTAGTGTATTTAGTACTACATTTAGAGAGGATTTTCCTTATCAGAGTAGCCGTTTTTTTAATCTGTGTAAAGAATAACTGGTTGTTTACAAAAGCATTTTCATATTGGTAAAGGCGTCTGAAACTTTTGTGAAGCATCAAATCACTGGCAAATTAACTATCAAAACATGTTTATGACTGCATAAATGTATTATTGGTTTTAAAAAGTCATATATTGTGCATTTCTATTATACACAATTTGTACTAAAGCGATCTTAAAAGTTCATATCAATTTCTCTTTGCACCACCAGATGGCAGTTTTTGTACTTTCATTTCGAGGGAGCAGATTGCATGTTTTATTAATATGTATAACTTTATTTGGTCCCACTTTATATTAAGTGTCCTTAACTACTATGTACTTGCATCAAAAAATAAATACAATGTACTTACTGTGTTTATAATGTATTTGAGAACACTTGTGGTGCTTTTGAGTTGGGATAGAGGTTGGGTTATGGACAGCTTTGGTGGTGTGGGTAGGTTTAAGGGTGTAGGTTTAAGGTGTAAGGGATGGTCAACAGTGTATTTACAAATGTAATTACAAAAGTTAATTACAGACGTAATTACATACATGTATTTAATCAAGCATAAGTACACAGTAAATACATGTATTTGCACAATAAGTACATTGTAACAAACTATTAATTCCTGTGTAAGTACATATTAGTTAAGACCACTAAATATAAAGTGGGACCCTTTATTTTATTAATATAACTATATATATATATATATATATATATATATATATATATATATATAGCCTAGTTAAAAAAATATGTACCATTGTCCCAAGTGTAACTACTACTGTAAGAAAATATCAGAATTCAGAACATACTTTCTGTATTATCTTTGCTTGAACTGAGCCGATCTAATCCTGTTTATATGAATTGAACCTGCTCCCGATCAGGTTTGACCTAGCAGAACTGTTGCTATGACAACAACTCTCGGATCAGCTTTGAAGAACGAAACGATCCTGGATCGTGTCAAATCGTCAATATCCAAATCCAGCTAATTTAGTAATCCACGTACGAAGAACGGACCCCAGTTCTTTAACAAACTGAAAATATACTTTTGAATACAGTTTGTTTTTTTTTTTGTTTTTTTTTTTCAAATGATATCATACGCAACACTCAACACAAAACAGGAAGAAAACATTCCTTTAAGCTGTTTAGCAGATCTCAAATCAAGCAGATATTCCAGGTATTCTTGCATAATGTGTAAAATAAATAAATAAATGTGCATGTTTTATAATAATATACAATGTTATAATACAATATTATATTAATATACAATGATTTACAATATAATGTACACATTACAAAATACTTTACATTTATAAAAGCAGATGAATATTGTCTGTTTAAAACATATAAATAATAAAGATAATCAGCAAAATTAAATTATTTTGTGGCTTCTATACCGTTGTTCAAAAGTTATTTGCTTCTTCAGGTAATCTTAGTCAGGATTTCTTTATGTCATTAAATAAAACAATGTGGGAATACGGGTCCACATAGTTTATTCATGTGCTAACCGCTCATTTTTAGCAGCCCAAAATATTGTTCAGAAGAGTTTTAAAATTTAAAAATATAAATATATATATATATATATTTAAATTGTTTTCACCCTCACTTTTGTTCAATTTGCCAAAACTATCCAATATCCCAAATTCCCAATAATATCTGAATGCAGCCTTTATGATGCATGCTGAGATTTCATCACTCAGCGATGCAGTGTTAGACACGATGCACTCAATGTAGAGAGTGGCGTCACTGTGACAGGTAGGGTTAGGGGTGGGGTTAGGTGAGCCCATTAAAAAGCATTGGATGCAGCTCAGATTGCACTGCACCAGGTCTGCATCCAGACCCCTCTCCAAATTCATGTGCACTTTTTTAACCCTTTCATGCGTTATAAATTCTCCAGCTGACCTTGTGTGAGTTTTGTATTGTGACCGTTACTTAATCTATTGTGTTCTAAAATTCCCTTTTTGTCCTTTTCTGTAAATATTGACAATGTTCTAATTATACTGTAAAATTTCTGATAGTCTGATTCTCAAGTATGTATTAGAACATGCAGTATATTTAGTCTTTTAAACAGCTTAATAATAATTGTATTATTTGTTATTAGATGGGTAAAGTGCACCACCATGTTTAGTCTGTGTTGCAAGAGAGGGAAAAGTGTAGATGGGATACAGCTGAGGATACTGGCGTCAATATAGCATAATTTTTGTGACACTGTACAACAATAAATAATATTTTTACATTACAGTGAGGGTCGAGTTTAGGGTTGAGGTAGAGATAGATGCTATTAAAATACAATTAATGCATAATTTAATGAGTAAAATAAATACTTCTTGTTACCTTCCGATCCCAGCTGTATCCCTTCTAGCAACAACCATAGAAGAGATCCAAGCTGCTGGATTTACATCATGTTTATTAATCATTTTCGTCAAAAATATATCGAAGACGTGAAAATATCTTAATGTGAATAAAGCACATTATCCAGTTATTTATAAAAAAAAAACTATTATTGTCTTCTTCATAGATATTCATGTGCAAAAATGGTATGTTTTGCTCATAGTTTTGTGTAATTGAATGTCTGAAACCTGAAATAAATGTTAGTTTTTTTTTGTTTTTTTTTGAAAACACGAATAAATTGTGATTTATGACAAGCACTGCGCACCTCTTTCTCTGCCTCAGGGCAAGCTGTCAGAAAATAATTTTTAGGAGTTGATGGTGTGTGCTGTAAACGTTCTAATCACACCGGTGTGAGCGTATGCTTCAGGGACCAGCCAAGACTGATCACACTGGTGTGATCGTATGCATGAAAGGGTTAAGGTGTCAAAATTAACTTTTATTAAAAATAAGCAGTTTTTTTCCACCTTCCAGGACAATATATAAACACTCACCACTGGATTTTTTATTTTTTTTTGTACTGGAGATTGACATCATTTCTTCATGCACCACACAAAAACAAACAATGAAATAGATTGTCTGGTATTTTCTACAGAGTTTGTTTTTATTCTTAAACATTTGCAATGCATCGATGCAAGGCTGTAAAAGAGGCACGGAAAATCTAAACCCTAGAGAGTGAATGAGGGTAAAAGCTGAACAAGATCAAGACGAAGCAGAGACTGAAGGCCTGCATTCAGCCCTGGTCAGTTTTCTTAAATGTCAATGTTCATGGAATGACCTCTGGAGGGTTGCTCCTCTCTGTGACGTGAGTGCTGCAATCATGGTTGTGAGTCCCGGTGGAGATCTGAGCGGTGCAGGCTACAGCGTTACTGTTGACCCTGCGGTTCAGCTGGATGACGGTGGTCTTGGAGGGCATGGAGGAGTGACCGTTCTGTAGCAAACTTCTCTGACAGCAGAACAAGATGCGGAAACACCTGTAGAACTGCAGGAGAAGAGAAACTTTAGACCTCTCAATATTGTCTTAAAAAACATAAGCATTGACACTTTATCTTATTCAACATGTTAAACCAATATAGATAGTATTGTTCGGATTTTACTGTTAGAAATAAGGTAGAAACTGTCAAAAATTAAACACATTGTTTGACCATTTGTGCAAAAATGTTACATTTACTTCATAGTTAAAAATGTACTCTAAAAAAAAAAAAAAACCAGCAGTGGTTGGCAGCTTTTACAGCTAAAACTACGACAGAAGTCATAGGTAACCCACTGTTCCTACTGCACCCAACCCGCACTGAGCTAGGATCCAACCGGCGATTCTTTGTATGGTAGTTGGTTGACAAAGAGGCTAATAACCATGGCCTCTAGCGTCTGTAGCTAAAGCATCTTTTGAGATTAGAGGAGTGAGGTTTACCTGCATAGCACTTCGCTAGCTGACCTCCTTATATATATATATATATATATGTATATATGTTCACACTTTACAATAAGGTTCATTAGGTAATGTTAATTAATGCATTTACTAACATGAACAAACAATGCACAGTACATTTACTACTGTATTTGTTCATGTTAGTTAACCTTAGTTAATGAAAATACAGTAGTTCATTGTTAGTTTGTTAACTCATGGTGCATTAACTAATGTTAACAAGCATGAACTTAAATGTTAATAATGCATTAGTAAATGTTCAATTGTGATTAATAAATGCTGTTCCAGTGTTGTTCATGATTAGTTCATGTTAGTAAATGCATTAACTAATGAACCTTATTCTAAAGTGTTACCATATATATATATATATATATATATATATATATATATATATATATATATATATATATATAATTTATTTATTTTTATTTTTATTTATTTTTTTACAGTAAATAACTGTATTAAATTTGCATTAATTTATATTGTTAAGCCATTGTTTAAAAGTACTAAAATCTGCATGTTGTACCTTTGTTTTTCTAATATAAAGGTGTCATTCACACAACTACTGAACACCATCATATAAATCTACATTAAATTTAACAAAACTCACAAAACTAAAATGAACAATAATAATGTCAAAAAAGAAAAACACAAAATTGATTGCTAGTGTAATGTGGGGAATTCTGGGAAAGTCCATTTACGATTATTGACCACATCAAGGTAGTTTACTGTAAACCAGGTTACTTTAAAATTTTTACAGATTTTACCAATAAAACCATGGACATTTTTTTACATTGTTGCATATAATTCATAATATATGTATGTATTTTTCTATGTTTAGTTATGACAACAAGAACGTTTTCAGTAGACAGCTAATTTTATTTTAAAACCTTTTTTGCAGAAACAAAGTGGTTGGCCACGCAGTGGCGCAGTAGGTAGTGCTGTCGCCTCTCAGCAAAAAGGTCAGGGTCAGTTGGCGTTTCTGTGTGGAGTTTGCATGTTCTTCTTGAGTTTGCATGGGTTTCCTCCAGATGAGTGTGAATGATTGTGTGTGGGTGTTTCCCAGAGATGGGTTGCAGCAAGAAGGGCATCCGCTGCGTAAAACATATGCTGAATAAGTTGCCGGTTCAATCTGCTGTGACAACCCAGATTAATACAGGGACTAAGCCGAAAAGAAAATGTATGAATGAATGAAGGTGTAAGCATATAGATATTTCTTTTTGTAGCCAAAAAAAATTTCCTGTTGTCTATAACCGACTAACATAAATTTCTTTCCCCTTAAGCTCTTTTTTTATCAAGTGTGAAACATTTGCGAGAAACTTGCTTGGACTCTAATAACCTGCTTCAACTCTAAATCGCACATATTATTATTTTTAAGGGAAATGGCTGGATTTTGTAATGTGTATTTCAAGAGTTCACACTTAGATATTGCTTGACAACTGTAAGCAGGTTTGGCATGCTGTCCCGGGAGAGAACCCTGAGCTCGGAGATAGTTGAGCCCAGGGCTCCCGCCAGGTCCATAGAGCATGTGAGGGGAGTACGAGATCAGGTGGTTCTCGAGAGCTCCCCTTTTTAAAGGAGGAAAGGAGGAGAAAGGGGGTAGATGGGGGTTTCTTCGGAAAACAAAGGTAAGGGAGTAATATCTAGCTAGACTATTTATAGTAAGTTAGGATAGATCTGATTGGCTAACTAATGAGTGTAGATAGGCGGCCAGCTGCAGTCAATTATATCACGTGTTCCTCTCGAAATTAGTTAAAAAAACTTCACTTATATAGCGCATTTATAGTGTACGGCCATACACCCAAATCCTTTCACACTCGCTTCACCCCCAGCAGTGTGCAGCATCCACTTGGATGATGTGACGACAGCCACAGGACAACGGCGCTAGTGCTCTCACCACACAGTAACTATAGGGGGAGTGGAGTGACAGTGATAGATCCAATTTGGTGGATGGGGATGATTGGGAGGCCATGATGGGTAAAGAGCCAATGAATGGAATTTGGCAAGAACATGGGGGTTACACCCCTAATCTTTAAGAGAATTGCCAATGGATTTTAATGACCACAGAGAGTCAGCAACTCAGTTTAACATCTCATCCAAAAGATGGTGGTCACTGACCGTATGGTGTCGCCTTCGCTTTACTGGGACATTAGGACTCACGCAGACCGCTGGTTGAGCACCCCCTGCTGGCTTCTCTAGCACCACTTAAAACAGCTACTTAGTTTTCCCATGTGACTATGACATATCTGCAAATCATGCTAATTGTGCTGCCACCTTTAGAATGCAAAGTAAAACCATACTGATTTTTTCCTCTTTGTTTTGTGAAAAAAAAGATGTCAATTTTGTCACTGTTGTATATGGTCAACAGGAGGTTTACTTATTTGATTTATTAATATACATTTTAATAACTATGCACTGGAATAACTAGGGTGAAATCATCAAAGTGTGACTTCTATAATATTATAGACAAGGAATTATGTGTTGTTCAAGTAAATATGGTATTATAAGCAGAACATCCATAGATTTCTTCCCTGTCAGCATTTTAAATACGAAGGTTCTTTAAAGTCTTGGTCAAGTGGAAGAAATGGAGTGTAAAGAGTATTTTACAAGCCTCATTTTCTCTTTAATCATTTCCGATTGTGCTTCCTAAATGCTTCCCTTTTCAACTGGTTCTCTCATTTTCCTATTCATTGACTGTCACAGTTCAAATTTCTGTTTGCTGATATCTTTTTTTCCCCCCTGTAGCGAAGAGTAACTGGGTCACGCTGTTACTGCAACATTATCTGCCATATTTCTAGCATGAATTAACACAGGATTATTTAGTAGTCTATGTTGCTAGCCAGTCTAAGGCTACTTGCTAAGCCTTGCCATAACAAGATGTTTGCTTACTTTAGCCAACAGTTACCAATGCAATGCTAACGTGTTGCTAGTCTGTCCTAGGCAGGTTGCCATGCCTTGCCATAAAATTAATAGTTAACATGTTGCTAGCTTATTTTAGTCTACAGTTATCAACACAATGCTAGTATGTTTCTAGCCTGTCTTAGGCTAGTTACTAAGCCTTGCCATAATATTGAGAGTTAATAAGTTGTTAGCATGTTTTCCTACTGAAAAAAAAAAAAACAGCTTTAACCAGCCTAGGATGGTTGGCTGGTTTGAGATGGTCGACCAGGCTGGTTTTAGAGGGGTTTCGGCCACTTCCAGGCTGGTTTTCAGCCATTTCCAGCCAGTCTTAGCTGGTCAGGCTTGGAGATGACCAGCTAAGACCAGCTTGACCAGCCCAGGCAGCCTGAAAGCCCAGCCAAAACCAGCTATGTCCAGGCTGCTCATGCTGGTTTTAGCTAGATTTAGCTGTTCATTTTCCAGCCTGAACAGCTAAGACCAGGTTGGAAATGGCTGGAAACCAGCCTGAAAATGGGCAGAGCCCCTCTAAAACCAGCCTGGTCGACCAGCTAAAACCAGCCAACCAGCCTAGGCTGTTTTAAGCTGGATTTTTCAGCAGGGTTAGTATGTTGCTAATCTGTCCTTGGCTAATTATTTGGCCTTGTCATGTCTTTGCCAATTAAATGTTGCTAGCTTCTTTTTAGCCCATAGTTACCAACACAATGCTAGCATGTTTTAGTATATTGCTAGCCTGTTAGGCTAGCATTGTCATAGATTGATTACAGAATGGTACTAATGTAACTGCATTTATAAGAAATATTAAATGATTTAGGAGACCGTATTAAATGTTACACAAAGAAGATTTAAGTTTACTGATCTGACTTTGAATAACCCTTTCTGTCATTGTGTATGTTTGTGTTTTGTCCAGGCATCCTGCTAATGATGTCCTTATGTGAAGAGGTGCATGTGTACGAGTACATTCCCTCCCTGCGTCAGACGGACCTGTGCCATTATCACGAGCGCTACTACGATGCCGCCTGCACTCTGGGTGCGTATCATCCTCTGCTCTACGAGAAGATGCTCATCCAGCGCATGAACATCGGCTCAGAGGATGAGCTCAAACGCAAAGGCAAAGTCACACTGCCCGGATTCAACAAAGTCCACTGTGAGCCTTGAACACACACACACACACACACGCAATAACAGCCTTTCTAACGCAGAGGAGAACCACAGACATCCAGCCGGCTCATTAAAAAAACTGACTGTGTGGGACTAAACCTTCTGCTGTAGTTGTAGATCTCTCTGAAATGCATTTCCTGAGCCTATGCTTAAAGATGGTCCAAACAGCAATAGACACGTGACGAGAAAAGCTTTTTAGATGTTTGTGATGTTGAAAGCCATCAAAAAAAAAAACAGTATTTCTTATACGTATAACTGTGTTTGACAGCGTTTGGAAGTATTACAGTCATAGACACTGAAAATTTCACTGTCAAAAAAGTGCAGAGATGGGATTTAGAACAAAAATGAGCTTTATTAATCTGTCTGTAGATGTTCTGACAGATTAAAAGCTTCTCGCCATAACATTGTGTTTCTTTTTTTTCCTGCTGTATTATCGTTTTCTGCTGTAATATATACGTCGTGCCACATTAACGAGCCTTTTTGAAAATATTTTGCTCTTCCAGAACTGAATCAATACTTTATTTCCTACTTGTTCCTTCAAAAGCAGAGTAGAAATACTGTGCCTGTTGTTGTTCAAATTGACTAAAAGGAGCTTTTGAATGTGACTGTGGTTCATTTAATTTGATCCTAGTCGATTTATACTTTTGAAGAACCTGTCGAGACAGGTGGTTTACAGAAAATAGAGTCGTTGAATAAGGTTCTACTATAACTCACAAGTGCAGCACTGTAAATATTATCTGCGATTTTAAGGCTGCTGGCAATATAACGGAACACATTGGTGATATTATGTGTTGCATCTAGCGGTTTTTAACGTCTTGTAGCCCCTAAACTCAAGAGGTTTTCTGACTCCTGCTGGAGTAGTCTTTAAAAGCGAATGAATTACCTTTGTGTTGTCTTCTCATAAATGTACAGTTATTCATTTGACGCATTCACTTTGCGGTTTGACTTTTCTACAGAAGGTAATACTTGAAGGTTTGTTGTTTACTCATTGTTTCAATGTGTGCCATTTTAATTAAGACGATAAGCTGATTATTTTTCTCCTGTAGATCTGGTGAGAAGAGCTAACGTCTGTTTTAACTGATGTTGTAGATAATATTGTAGAAGTCAATTTAGTAAGTGATGATTTCACTCAGGAGCTCATGATACTCTTAATAGGGTGAAATACTTCATCTTCCTTCTAGTCTTAAATGGTAGGCTGAGATGTGTAAAGCTAAACTTTGACTTTTACTCTGTCTTGTTTCCCCATGTTGGGGGATTGTAGATGTAGAGAGCCTGAAGAGTACCTTTTTTTTTCTAAAGTAGGTTTGGATGCAAAATTTCCACCTTGTGTTGTCTTGAATGATTTAGTGTTGAGGCTGGTTGTGGTTTTCGGGCATGTGATCAATCCTGCTCCAGTCACATTCGGATAATAATGTAAATAAATTAGTTTTTGGGCTTCTGTCCTACTTTTAATTGACCAGAGTAGTGAAGAAGACTGGAAATGATTGGGAGGAGAGCAAGTTCAAAAGTTTGGGGTTTGTAAAATATTGCTCACCAAGACTGCATTTGTGATAAGAAACATGGTACAGACTACTGTTTTGACCAATAAAAGTAACTGTTTTCTATTTTATTTAGTTTTAACATTTCCGTGATGGAAAAGCTGAATTTTTAGTATCTTGAGTCTCACATGATCCTTCAGAAATCAGTCTAAAATTTAGATTTGGTGGTCAATAAATGTTTCTCTTTATAGTCAACAGTTGTGCAGATTCATATTTATGTAGGAACTGTGATACGTTTACTCTTTTAAGGTTCTTGAGTATAAATTTTACAGTAACATTTATTTAAAATGGAAGTCTTTTGTAATATTATATAGTATAATTGTCTTTACCACCTCTATTAATAAGGGTGCATTTTCAACTCTAAACATAAAACTTTTTTTTTTTTTTTTAGTTTTGGTCATTTATTTACTCGATAATGGCTTTTTAAGAGCCTGGAAATGCTGTCTTTTGAAAAAAAATATTTTTTAGGCTCAAGTTTCTGAAAATGACAGCATTTTCCTGTTTAAACTATAAACTGTGATTTTTGTTAAAATAACATGCATGCGTACACTGTAAAAAGATTTCATGCTGCTTATTCTTTCAGTTCTAGTCAACTTACATCAGTGAAACTTACTAAAAATATCAACGTAAACTTATCAAATTACTGCGCAAACTAAAAATGGTAAAGAAATGGATTAAAACATGACTAACTTATTAAAATATGTTTAAGTAACATGAGAAAAACATTTGTTGTTTTGAGTTTGTCACATGTTTTACAGTGTGGAATTTAGTTTTAAAACTTGTGATTGATTTGCCCATAGGGGAATTGAATAGGAATAATAAATGTCAGTAAATGATTTAACTACTTTCTATATAATATTTAATGCAATAAAACAAATTTGCAAAATCAAGCAGTATAACAAGCTGTTTTTATGGCTAAAAATTCACAATGGAAGTGATTTATTTTCTTCATCAATTGGTGAAGTTTTGTTCCTCATCACTGGCGCCACTGGCCTGTTTGGTTTGGGTCTTGAGGAGCTGTGCATCAGTGAATTTGCTCTTCAGTGTTTGGACTTTCAGCAGCGAAAATTAAACCCCACAGAACTGAATTGAATTGGACTTCCTGACTGCCATTTTGTTTTTGATTGAAAACCTATTTTTTTCATTCTCCTCCTAGACTGTTTTTTCCAAATTTTCACCAAATTTGACCATGCTGGCAAAAAGTTCATGTTAATACGTGACACTGTTTTCGTTTACGGCACTGACAGATGTGCTGGCACAACGTCAAAGATCGCTTAATTCTTAACCATATTGACACAGATCTTTAGGTGTGTCATTGGCAACTCACAATGTTCCAACTAATAATTGGGTAATAATATTAGTTAATACAACTAATAACAGTGCCACCAAGTTATTATGACACATAACCCGTTCACTAACCATCAATAATGAATCATGAAACATTTGCTAATAACTAGACTGCATATGTTTATTGTAATAAAAATTGATCGCAACCTATTCCTTGTCATGCCGAGAACATTGATACCAAATATGTCATATTTGGCTAAACTTATAGGTTATGTTTGCCTCCCATGATAAATACAACACTATTATTCTATTAATGAAATGGGTTTTAGTTAAGAAGCAGGTTTTAGTTTATCACTGTCATGCAAATGTACCTTATATGTGTACATTTTCATTTTTAATAAAGTAAAAAATAAACAAAATCTGACCCCAAACTTTTGGACAGTAATGTACACTGACCATCAGTCCACTGCTCTCCTCTGCATATTTTTTTTATGTATTAATCGTGATGGCCAAATGGTCATGTGACCGACCGAGGGACTTAAACTCTGCCTTCAGCATTCTCTTCAGTCTTTTTCTAACTGTACGATCAGAGGCAGAGTCGTGTGTCCTTCCATTTGAATGTCTTTTCCCAAGCCTTTAACAAGAGGTGTTTCGACGGCACAGACCTCGTCCATGTCTCTCACAAGACGAGATGAGGTGGCCATTTTTAAGAGTATTATTTCTAATGTTTACTGTAAATATGCGACTACTTCTAGAAATAGGGGGTGGGGGTGGGTATGGGGATGTACATTTCAGTGCATAAAGCATGTGAAAAAGCAGGACTGGTTAGTTTTCATGGTTAATAACTTTGCGGTTGTAGGAATGTTAGGATTTAGCCTTTTGTTTTGAGCGATGTTTATTAATGAAGATTGGAAACAGTTGATTTGAATGGCGAACTTTTAATGCTCTGTCACAGACGAGCACAGGACAATATTGAGGACTGTGCCAAATGTGTGTTTGTGTGTCTTTGTGTGTTTGTGTGTCTGTGTGTGTGTGGGAGAGAGAGATATGGAACGTTTGACTGGTACTGTGTGTATTTGTGCCAACTTTTCTTTCGCCATGTTTTATTTAATGTACTTGATACTTATTTTCTGCCATACCTTCCCTTTTTATTATTATTATTTCTATTAATATTATTATTATTATTACCCCCCCCCCCCCCCTTATTGTTATATCTGTGAAAAAATCTTTCAACTTTACACTGTAAATATCTGAAATTGTCTGTTATAGGCCAGTCCACTTTCAAAAGCCATTGGGTGTTTTATAATGTTTAATGCTCCATATGTTAATAGAACGTTATCATTGAATTCATTTTTAAAACACTAAATGTTTGTGTATAATTTTGACCATTGTTTCTATAATAAAACCTTGACCTTTACTTGACCCAGTAAAATATTGTGTGCTGCCTATCAATTGCTTGTCTCTACTTGCTGTTTCTTCTTAAGCAGGTTGTCCTAAAGCAGGGGTGGTCAACCCTGTTCTTGGAGAGCCACCTTCCTGCAGATTTCAGTTGCAACCCATATCAAACACACCTGCCTGTAATTATCACATGGTGTTCAGGTCCTAATTAATTGGTTCAGGATAGAGTTGTAACGGTATGAATTTTTTACGGTATGATAATCGTCTAAAACAATACCACGGTTTGACAGTTTCGCGGTATACGGTATGTTACAAATGTTACAAAATAATAGAACAGTGAAGCAAATTTGACTTTTTCCAAATAATATATTTTCAGTTACTATAAACAACACCACTTACAATGAACAAATAAAAAAATAAGAAAATAATAAATAATGTGTCAAAGTCCAAATAAAGTCCAAATAAACATGATGCAAATCCTCAGTAAAAAAATAGATATAAATATTTACTATACTATAAATAGTTACATAACGAAACTAGATTCAATATGGAACATCCTTAGGTTTTATGTGCCAGCATGGATATGGTTGTCTATCGATATGGATTTGGATATGGTTGTATGCAATGCAGACAAACAGCTGCACCTTCATTTGCGTCTTTTGAAAACAGCAAGAGCAGCAGTTCGTCTTTGCTGTGTCACTGTTTTGTCATGTTTCTGTGCTGCTGTGCATGCAAAAGTACTTAGTATGAGAATTATTTCATGCAAAACTTTTTTTTTGCGTTTTATTTAGCCGCGCGTAAATGTATGCCTATCTCTCATTCTGTGTTGTTCAAAAAGCTCGTTTTTGGTCCACAAACAAAAGTGAAACCTATGCTTATTGGTTGTGATATAGCGAGTTTGAACCAATCTGGGCATGGAGGAGGGACAATGCATCAATGTATCATGTCTGGTTTGTCCGAGACACAGTGACGAGCGTTTCTTTGTCAAATCAGCGTTGTCAAATTTTGATGATGTAACCGCACTGATTCCGGAGCCTCTGAAAGTCCGCAAATGTTATGTGATACAGGAAAGCTGAGATTCTCTTCTTTATGCCAATCTTTGAATTGTATGAATTGGATCAGCGGATCAAAAGTTATTAAACATTTAAGAGCAATACTTATTTTTAGCCGCGGGCGGCTGTCTCGGTCTTTAAGGGTTAAAACCGTTGATATGCAATTGTTCATGGTATGATAATCGTGCACGTTCAAATCGTGGTAAACCGTCATACCGGTACATTGTTACAACCCTAGTTCAGGAACAGGGTTGGCCACCCCTGTCTTAAAGGGTCACAAATGACCAAAACACATTTTTTGAGCAGTTGATATATGTGTCCCACGCTGCTATAAAGACTATTAATACACATATATTTTACTAAGCATGTTTACTTTTTTGTGAAATATGTGTCCTAATAGTGTTTATAGTAGCGTGGGACACACATCTGACTGTCAACAGCTCAAAAAAAATGCGTTTTGGTGTTTCGTGACCCTTTAAGTTTGCAAATCGCTAGCATGTTTTGCAGGAACTGACTTTAATATATTTTAGCATGTCGTTCTTAGCCTGTTTTAATGTCATTTAACAATAATGACATGTCTCTAGCATGAATTAGCAAATTGAGCAAACAGAGCTAGCATGTTTTAGCATTTATAGGATGAATGTTATGTAATGTTACAATGAATTGACAAACTGGGGGCATGTTTTAGCAAATCGATAGTAAATGTAAAATGTTGTCAATTTTATTTAGTGCTAGAATGTTTCACAATGCTGCTAACTGATTTAAAACAATGCTAGCATGCTTCCAGACAGACAGACAGATAGACAGACAGACAGACAGATAGACAGACAGACATAAAAGTTTATATTGAAGAACATACAGTACACAAAACCATTGGCTAAATTCAGCAGTACAGATGTGTCTGCTTGCAGGGGTTTACACCTCCTTACGAGATCCTTCAGGATTTCGCAATGTCATGATTGCTGAATTTAGAGCAAAATTTAGCAAATGTCACAATTTTGTGGAGGTCACACATTTTTAAAATTGCCACAGATTTCCCACATATTTTGAGCAGTCGGGACACTGTTCAAATTCCCATCGTACCAAAGAGTGCCATCTGCATTTTTTTTTTTACATTCCAAAATATTATAACACTCTGCAATAGGACTTGGCATTTATTTTCAGACAGTTGGTTTCATTTTCAAATGTGATACTGCAGGGGTTTTTATTTGGCAAACAAGCTTCTCATCAATTAAGATGTGTATATTTATATTTCCACAGCAAAACAATAAAAGAAATGCTACAAAATTTGAACTTTAATTGCAAAAATCTGATTTGTGATATCCTGGAGGGACTTTATATATGACTTGTGAGTATGATATGAGTCTGTGCTCTTGCCTGTTTGTTCATGAGGATGTATATGAGTGGGTTGATGACCGTGCTGCTCTTGGCGAGGAGAGAGGGAACCACACTGGCCACAGGTGAGATGATTCCCGGCCGGCCAAATGTGGCCATCATGGCCACGACGCCGTACGGCATCCAGCACAAAAGGTAACACACCACAGTGGTGATAACCATGAACAACACATGGTACTCCCGTTTCCGTGCAGCCGTCTTGCGTATCTTCCCTACCTGAGAAAGAGAGACAGATATAAAGTGTCAATAAGTGAAAACTGTTCTCTGGCCGACCCAATCTTAGATTCCACAATCCATATTGATAGTTTCAAGCACCTAAAAGAAAACTTTTCAACTATTTTTTTCCCCCACACCACATGGTGCTTTGCTTGAATTACAAAATTCTGATTTCCACCAAATGTCTTCAAGTTGTCCCAACACAAATCAATCAAGTTAACTTGATCGTTTTTTTACACCTTTAGGTAGATTAAACATAAAAGAATTAAGTTGTCCCTAAAAAAAACTTAAGAATTGTGTTGTTTTAACTGATATTTCAAAGTTTAAATCTTGAGTAAACGTCCACATTTAACGTTCAGGGGATTATTTCAATATGATTGTGCATCTGAACATGAAATTACAAGTATGGGGGAAAATAATAATGGAATGTTAGTAAGGTACATGTACTGGTACACACATGGGTGTAAATCTGGGGGGGGGGGGGGGGGGGGATTTCTTTTGAGCATTTTTTTTTGTAGGGGGACACAAATACTACAGCCGGGTTGTACTAATAAAGATATGTCCCCACAGTCAAAAATGGTTTTATCATTATTATTATTATTATTATTATTATTATTATTATTATTATAGCATGGAGACTACGTCATTATGATTATTTTCAAAGTTTTTATCAGGTTCAATGAAAGCAAATTTTTCTTCAAAACTATTTATTGCATTGTTTGTTGAATTGTTTACTCCTGAAGCCGAATAAATGCAGGAAAAGACGTTTTCCATGCTCATATTAACTAGTTTACATTACACTTGTTAAATTGACTGATCATATTGTAAATCAGTGAGCCTGTAAAGTTTATTTGCTAAACAGCCACATCTCCGAAAACATTAAAAAAAAAAATCACCCCCCAAAAGATTTGTCATTATCCCTTCAATAACAGCACAACACACTTACCTGACACTGTACATCTGACTGACCCTGCTCTGCCTGTTACTCAACCATTTCTCTCTCCTTTGCCTGTGATTGATAATGTGACATTAGTATTAGGGGAGTGGGCTATGGTGGAGACAAACCTCGAATAGGAGGGGACATGTCCCCCCCCCCGTCCCCCTCTGGGATTTACATCCGTGGGTACACGTAGTTGATACGTAATTTTTGATATTATGTAGCTCAACCAGCACGCACACCCTGTGCAAGATGGAGGTCACGTTGGAAGTTACCTAGTTTGGAACTATTTTCAGGTGCTGCATAATATTATTGCTACTGCTGCAGTCATGGTATGGCAGCAAAGTTCCTTGAGTATACTGGAATGAGAGGATAGTGTCTAGCCATATCGGCCTAGAAAATAGCAACTTTTCATTTTCCATCCGTCTTAATACACAATGTAACATCTGAAAAGTCAACATTTAAAAGCAAAATTATCAAAATTTTTGATTAACTTGTGGTAATTTGAAGCAAATGCTTTAATACAATTCAATCATCAATGTTAAGCTAAAAGTGTTTCCTGGATTTAAAAAGAAAATGGTCAAACTCAGCTCTTTACTTTAGTGGCGTTGAAAATTTTGGCCTATTGTCAAGGTGTTACTTTAAAGGGCACCTATTTTACCCCTTTTACAAGATGTAAGATAAGCCTTTGGTGTCTCCAGAATGTGTCCAAGGTTTCAGCTCAAAATACCCCTGAGATAAATTATTATAGCCTCCAGAATCTGCTCATTTTTCCTGTCTTGAGTACAGTGCAGCTGTTTTTGTAGCCTGTGGCTTTAAATGCAAATGAGCTGCTTCACTGTTCACATGTGCGTATCTGCTTCTCATGTGTTAAATTAGATAAACAGCAGTCAGTGATTTACACAGACATGGATGCCGCTGAAATACAGCTCATTAGTCAAGAATACCAAGTAATTTTATTTCATGTATTTGTGGTGGAGTTTATTCAAGCCTTTCTGAAACAATGAGTCACATATAAATGCCATTTGTAGTATACACAAACACACACACACACATATAAATATATATGTGCCTGACACCATGCGGTTGTGGTTATTATAGCAGTTAAGAATTACTTAACAATTTTACTGCATTTAAAACAAACAGGCTGTTTTAAAAATGTTTTCAACTCATAAAATTTACAGAAATCACAGAGAGTTGGAACAGATATTTTATATATGCCAGTTTATTTGCAAAAATATATGTTCTGTGAACATGTGTATACATGTTGATATAGAAACATGGCGACTGTCAATCAATTTGGTGGGTGGGAAAAACCACATTCCTACGTCACGTTGCAGTGGGCCTCAAAATCACTGTGATTTGGGTCCTATTTTAATGTCAGGAAATTTAAAAAAAGAGACTCTGCATTACCTTCACTCCACTATAACAGCGGACACACTATACATACACACAGTCCAAACAGCTTAAAAGTTGATTTTCATCACAAGTGCCCTTTAAAGTGAATGTTGTGCGCTTTACCATTTAATCATGAATTGTGAATATTTTACTCGTTTGGAAATTGCACAGCATGGGAATAGCACTGCCATTATACTTGGAATGGACAGACTTTAGCATAATTGCAGTTTTCAACCATTCAAAATGTGTCATAATAGTTTACAATAACTGAGAAGCAATAGCCCTATACTTATGGAGGAGTGCCGATTGTTCTCTCCGAAACACATTATATGACAGTGGACTGTGGTGAAAAGTGGTGTTTATTTGTCTTTGATTATGTCCTTCATAATGACCCTTCAGAGAATGAGGTCTGATCCTTACCAATGGTTGTAAACACCGCTGTACAAGCCAGAACGTTCAATTCAAATTGTATAATAATAAGTAGATGAGTGCATTTCAGAAATGAAATGAAATCTCATATATCACAATCACTATGCAACTACATTTTCAAATCACAGCTTTTCTTAGGGGGGTTTATTTTCTGTTCATGCAATGTCCTTGCTTCCAAAGACTCCCAAAAACAACACACTACAGGTTGACAGGTTGATGCCACCCACATCCCAGTAAACACATCATCGAAGAACAGAAAAATGCAGTGAAGTGAATGTTAATAAATAAAGAGACACCGAAACACTAGAGTCCCACCGAGGAGCTCCAGAAGGATAAAAGTAGAAGTGACAACAGTGGGAAATGAGAGAGGACATTTTAAGATGCTGTTTTGGGGATTTTTGCAATTGTCATTTGTGAGGGGCTGCCACTTTCGTTTTCTTTTTTTATTTTATGATTAACCTTTATTTGTCAATCTCCAGCTCCCACGTCTTCCTTACAAAGTAAAAAAAGGAACGTTGAAGGGCTTTTGTGCACTTTGGTCCCACTTTATATTAAGTGGCCAAAACTACAACGTGCTTGTATGCATCTATTGTATCACAGTAAGTCAGGCATGTCCAAACTCGGTCCTGGAGGGCCAGTGTCCTGCACAGTTTAGTTCCAACCCCAATCAGACACACCTGGGCTAGCTAATCAAGCTCTTACTAGGCTTTCTAGAAACATCTTTGCAGGTGTGTTGAGACAAGTTGAAGCTAAATTCTGCAGGACACTGGCCCTCCAGGACCGAGTTTGGACACCCCTGATGTAAGTGTATGTTTATATGTACACATATGGTGCTACTGAGCTAAGATATGGGTCCAGGTACAGGTTTGGTGTCATGCAGGGCTGGATTGGGACAAAAAAATCAGCCATGGCATTATGGGAGAGAGCGGCCCACTACATCAATTAAAATGCTTCCCATCTCTGCACGCCCTTGAATATGTTTACCAACGTCTATTCTATAAAAGCACAAAAGCCATATATAGGAAACAATGAGAGACTAATTAAAAACTTAAAAATTTAAATTTATTATTAAAATAAAATTATAATCCACGCTGGAAGTCTGTCTTGTGTGTGCCTGTGTTTTGAGCAAACCTATTGTTACAATGGCACTTGGCCGCAGTGCAATGCAAGGAATGGAGAAGGTATGGAAAAGCAAGGGCATCAGCATTGTAACAAAGATCAGAATAATCAATGCCATCGTTTTCTTCATGTATGCATGTGAGAGCTGGACACTCAAGAAGAAAGACAGAAGGAAGATCGATGCTTTTGAATTGTGGTGCTGGAGGTGAATGATGCGCATACCATGGACAGCAGGGATCACAAACAAAACGATCCTGTAGCATGTCAAACAAAATGTATCGCAAGAGGGTAAAATCACCAAGCAGTGGCTCTCGTTCTTTGGTCATATGTGAGCCAACTCCATGGAAACAGCTTTAATGCTTGGTGCAGTCAGTGGATCAAGAAGAAGAGGGCATCAGAGAACACGATGGCCGGACACAATCAAGACTGACACAAACTTGAACATGGAACAACTGAAAGAAGCAGTCAGAAATAGGAAAGCGTGGCAAATCACGATCCATAAAGTGGCCGAAAGTCGGTGTCGACTGATTGGCTAATCATCATCGTTGCGGATGCTGTATATTGGTAGGATTCTTGCATCCTGTTCTCTCTCTTTCTCTATCTCCATCTCTGCCTGTCACATCCTTTAGGTCCGCCTTCGCGAAAGCCGATTGGTCAGGAGACCAGTCACTCATCATTGGGTGACTTGGCGTGGTCATATAAAAGGACGCAAGGGAAAGCGGATGATAGCGCGCTTTTTCTTTGATCCTGTTTTGTGTTTTTGCCGACATGATTTTTTTATTCGTTGTTTTTGCTTAACTTTTGTTTGGATAAAATTATTTAGTATTATTTCTGCCCATTTTTTAACTCATTTGTGATTTTTGTACATAATTTTAATTGCGATTGTTTGTTTGTTACTTTTTGGTCCAACTCTTACCTGACACACAAATTTAATATATTTAATTGAGTGTTCACTTTGTCCTCAGAGTCAGGTGGACAGGGAAGATGTCGTACGACTTCCATCCTACAAACACTTAGTCAATCCATTGTTTAAAACACCAGGTAAGAATTGAATGCCATCTGTGTATTTGTTTTGTTTCATAGAGTCCAGTACAGGTAAGATTACGGCGCTTGGCGC